ATCTATCTATCTATCTATCTATCTATCTATCTATCTATCTATCTATCCAGAGAGGAGGGCTTAGCTTCAGGGAGGATAGATACATCTAGAAATACAGTCTAGTATAGCAGGTCAGATGGCAGCACCTGGGGGTCTGAAGGCATAGTAGCAGAGCAGATAGTAAGTATCAGATCTTAGTATTAGTATCAGATAGTATCAGATAGTAAGGGATGCACTGTCAGGACAGATGGTAAGAACTGTTCATACTCCATCTTACTGTCTCCCTTAAATGGTGTCTCCCTGCTCATCTAAGAGGTAGGAGAAGCCATGTCTGTTCTACTGGGTAGAGGTCCTAGAGGGGCCTGGCACACCACCACTGAGAATGCTCCCAAGTGGAGCAGGACCCTAGCCCTAATTTCCTTCAACAGCAGTCAGGATTGGAGGGAGGAGGTAAATCCTGACTCCGTCATCAATATGCTAGCTAGATCTCTCGACTAAATGTCACTGATATTCAGGACCTTGTAGTCCACTCAATGCCTGACCTGAAAATAACCTTAAAGACCATCTAGTCCAAACTAAGACCTAGGGAGTGGAAGGAATTTGTCCAAAGTCACTCAGGTAGTTAAGTAGAACTGGAATTCAAATTCAGCTCATCTGCCTCCAATTCAAGTGCTCTTTCCAATAAATCTTAGAACACAGAATGTGGCAGCCAGAAAGGACAAGAGTACACAGAATGTCAGAGCTGCTTGGGTCTGTAGAACGCAGGACACAGAAAGATGAAACATAAAGAGTCCTAAGAGGTCGTCTAGACAACAGTAGCAAACTAAAGTAGAAATGGATTCCTACCAGCAGCATATTGACTTAGAAATCCACAAATTAACATAATCTTTGGTATACTATGTGTGTGTGTGTGTATACACTTATACACATGTATATGTATGTGTGTATATACATATGCATATGCATACACGTGTGTGTGTGTGTGTATGTGTATGTGTGGGTGGGTGGGTGTACACTAGATGGCACAGTGGATAGAGCACCAGGCCTGGAGTCAGGAAAACTCAGTTTCCTGAATTCAAATCTGTTCTCAGACATTTACTAGCTATGTGACCCTGGGTAAGTCACTTAACCCTGTTTGCCTTTGTTTCCTCATCTGCAAAATGAACTGGAGAAGGAAATGGTAAACCACTCCAGTATCTCTACCAAGAAAATCCCAAATGGGGTCACAAAAAGCCAGACGTGACTGAAATGACCGAACAACAATAACTATATTTTTATTTATTTTGTTAAACATTTCCAATTACATTTTTCAAATAAGAAAACAGAGCCTAGAAAAATGAAGTGACTTTGCTAAGCTTACACAACAAAGCAAAGCCAGGAATAGAATATATATAGGATGCCCAGTTCAGTGCTTTTTTCCACTAAGTCACAGTTGCCTCTCAAAAGAACATTCCCCAGGGATCTTTAATACACTGATTGTCCAATTAAGTGTCAAGAGGGAATACCACTGTCAGAACATCTGAGGCCTCAGGCTAACTCTGTGTTTCTCTGATTGAAGTGAAAATCCCTGACCATGCTATATTCACTGACCATCATCCTGATGGACCCCTAGTCAGCTTCCCCTAAAGAAATATGTATATTCTGTTGTGAATAGATGGAACATGTTCTTGTGGAAGTTCCTGTTGCAACTTCCTGCCAAAGTGACCCATTTCATTAGCAATGACTCACATCTAACTCCTTAATCAATAAACATGCTCTTGTTCTGGTCCACAAAAGCTACCTTGTTGGCATATTTATATGTATTTGTGCATATATATGAGACAACTAAGTGGCACAATGGATAGAGCACTGGGCCTAGAGTTAGAAAGATCAGAGTTAAAATCCAGCCTCAGAAATTTATTAGCTATTTGACTCTGGGCAAGTTACTTAACTCTGTTTGCCTCAGTTTCCTCATCTATAAAATAAGCTGGAGAAGGAAATGGTAAACCACTCCAGTATCTTTGCCAAGAAAACCTCATAGGCAGAATTGGTGTGTCCGTGGGGGTCTGTGGGGGTCACAAAGAGTCAGACACGATTGAACAACTGAACGATAACAACAAAGATGCATACAAACATATATGTGTGTGTGTGTGTGTGTGTGTGTGTGCACATAGAGGTATATATAAGCCCATTCTAGATCTTATAGTCCATTATTATATATACAAATACATGCATACATACATATATACACACATTGTATATATGCATATATGCACATGTGTGTGTATATACATACATATATGTATATATGTATATAAATAATATATATGCACACACACATATATGGACTGTAAGACCTAGAATGGATCTTACAAGATATCTTGTCTATCTATCCCTGATTTTATCAATATAGAAACTGAGGATTAGAGAGGAAAGTGACTTACCCAAGGTCACACAGGAGTTAAGTAGTAAAGATAGTAGCGCAGACATTCTAACTCATAGCCCATGGGTCTTTCGTATTTTCTTTCCTCTGTACAAACCACATTACCTGTCATAGGGCTGGGTATATAGTAGGTACTCAAAAAAGGCTTCCTAGAACCAGGAGAACATTGTACACACTAACAACAACACTATGTGATGACCAACTTTGATAGACTTAGCTCTTCTCAGCAATGCAATGATCGAAGACCTCTCTAAAAGTCTCATGATGGAAAATGCTATCCACATCCAGAGAAAGAACTGTGGAGTTTCAATGCAGATCGAAGCATGCTGTCTTCTCTTTTTCTTTGTTTTTCTTTCTCATGGTTTTTCCCTTTTGTTCTGATTCTTCTTTCACAACATGACTAATGCGGAAATATGTTTAATATGATTGTACATGTACAGCCTATATCAGATTGCACACCATCTTGGGGAGGGAGGGGGAAAATTTGAAACTCAACATCTTACAAAAGTGAATATTGAAAACTAAAAATAAATTAATTAATTTTTTAAAAAAGGACTTGTTAATATAATTGCATTAGGCCCCAAGATATGGAGTAAGTAATGGATGTCTCCTCCAAGCTCACACAGTGAAAACAGACCTTTCCTTATTGATTACTCACCTTTGTCTTGCACCAGCATATCCAGCTCTTCTCGGATCCCATCATACCAGCTGGTGATGTCCACATGGAGAGAGTAATCGCAGCAGGATTTGGTGTCAGCAGCCTCATGCCACTTTTCAAAGGTGGCAAGTAAACTGGCACCAGGCTCAGGGAGGACATGGTCAACTAGAAGAGAATAAGAAGTGCATGGTCAAAGCCAATCCAGGGAACAGAACATTTAGTGTAGGGGGGTAAGGGGGGGGCAGCTAGATGTGGTGCACTGGATAGAGCACTGGGCTTAGAATCAGAAAGACTCATCTTCTTGAGATCAAATCTAGCCTCAGACACTTACTAGCTGTGTGACCCTGGGCAAGTCATTTTATTCCTTTTGCCTCAGTTTCTCATCTGTAAAATGAGCTGGAGAAGGAAATAGCAAAAGAAAACCCCAAAATGGGGTCATGAAGAGTTGGACTCAACTGAAACAACTCAATAACAAGAAGATAAAGGAGTCAAAAAGTTTTCCCTCAAAAAAACGAAACTGTTCCCCATGAACAAAAATTCTCTTTCTAGCAACTCTATCTCCCTACTCCAAGCTCCCATTTCTTCCTGCATGTTACTTCAGCAGCTTCCTGGCTAAGTAAGTATTCTCACTAACTGTAGTTTTCTATATCCGGCCCCAAATTCATTTTGCACATGCTACTCCATTATTCTTTCGATCATGTCACTGCTGTACTCAAACACCTTCCATGGTTCCTCACTGACTAGAAGATAAAAGTCCAAGCTCCTCATCTGGTCATTCAAGGTGCTATATAATCTGGCCCTACCCTTCCTATCAAATCCTATCACAGAACAATAGAACTAGAAGAGTCTTTTCAATGATCTAGTCTAAACTGCACATTTTACAGAGGAGGAAGCTGCACAGTCTCTCCGTCCCGCAGCTATTCTGCAAGATTCCACCAAACATTCTTCCTCAGTCTGGCCCATCTTATTATTTTCTAGCCATTCCCAATACCATAATCATGATCATCTCACTGCTTTTATTGATTCTCCTCCAACCTCCTGCAATTCACTTTCTTTCTCAGTTCAGCAAATATTTATTGACTATTATTTGCGAAGCACAAAATAAGTCATTGGAAATATAAAGGAAAAAACAAACAACAGCAACAGGAAATCCTTGCCCTCAAGCCATTTACATTTTTATTGGGAATACTTGCTGTTGTCCTATTTAACTCTTCATAACCCTGTTTGGGTTTTGGTTTTTTTGTTTGTTTGTTTTTGTTTTTTTTTGGCAAAGATACTCATTTTATAGAAACTGAGGAAACTGAAGCAAATAGGCTTAAGTGACTTGCCCAGGGTCACACAGCTAGTAAGTGTCTCAGGCCAAATTTGAGCTTAGGAAGATAAGTGTTCCTAGTTCCAGGCCCAACACTCCAGTACACCACTTAGCTGCCTCCTAGGGAATACTTAATAAACCACTAAGTGGTTTAAACCACTTATATATCATATATGTAATGATATATAAGCATATATATGTGTTGAAATATACTTATATTTTAACCCAATGTTATTTGAGGAAGGAGGAGCATTAACTACTTAAGTAGTCAGAAAAGATGCCCCACAAAGGCTGGCACCTGAGATGAACCTTACAGAAAGTGAAGTTTTCTAAGAGGCCCAATAGGTAAAGAAGTAGTCGGGCATGGGGGCAAGCATGCATAAAGATATACAGGTAAAGGGGAGGAAGAATGTTAAGTTCAAGGAATAGTAAGAAATTCTGTTTAGCTGGTACATGTTGTGTTTGTAGGGAGCAATGTGAAATGTCTAGAAGGGGAGGCTGGAACAAGAGTGCAAAATAGTTTCAAAGATAGGCTGAGAAGTTCACATTTTATTTTACAGACACCAGTAAGCACCTGAATATTTTGAAGTACAAAGTGATATGGTCATCCTTATGACTTAGGGAAATTACTTTCATAGCTCCCTATAGAAGAGATTAGATGAAGGGATATCTGGAAACAGGGAGACCAATTAGGAGGCTATTGGAATAGTCCAAATTAGAGAAGATAAGGGTCTGAAATATGATGGTGGCCATAAGAGCAGAGACAGAAGAATGGATGCAATAAATGGGGTTAGGATTGATAAGACTTCAAAATTGACTGGACATGGAAGTCTGAGGAAGAGAAAACAGTCAGATCACTGTCAGACTACGAATTTGGGGGAGTGAATGGATGATGGTACCCTCAACAGCAATAGGGAAGTTTGGAAGAGGGATGGGTTTAATGGGGAAGATGATAAATATGGTTCTGGATTGGTTGGATTTTAGATGCATACAGACAATCCAGGTAGAGATGATAATGCAGAGTGGAGTTCAGGAAACAAATTAGGGCAGTATATGTAAATCTGGTAGACATCTACATAAAGATGATAATTAAAATCTTGAGAACTGATGAGATCACCAATGCAAAGGAGATCGCCACCTTTATTTGTCTGACAAAGTGAAAGGGCGAAGGAAACAGATACCTAACCTTCAAATTGCCTTTTTAAATTAAATTTTATTTTTCTAATTAAGAGAAAGTTAATCTATTTTCTCTCCCTTCCATTTTCCACTCCATTGTGGGAAAGAAAATAAGAAAATATGTATGTGTGCATATCAATATCTATATCTATGCATCTATATAGATATAGATACACACACGTGCATATGTGCATATGAATGAAGACATCCCAAGTAAGAGCTTTGGGGGACACCAACGGTTAGGGGGGATGATAGATCATTGAGCAAAGGAGATGGAAAAGAGCGGTAGGTCAGGCTAGAAGAAAACCAGGAGAAAGTATGGAGCATCATGAAAGCTGAGGGAGGAGATTTCCAAGAGGAAAGGGTGATAACAGAGAGGAGAAGGCTGAGCATAGGAAAAAGGACATCATATTTAACAATTAAGAGATCCTGGGTAGCCTCAGAGAAACCACTTCAGTTTATTGGTGGAGTCATACACTAGATTTCTAAACAACTGAGAAGTGAGTGAAAAGTGAGAAAGCAGAAGCAACAAACATAGATTTTTTCCCTTGGAGTTTAGCTGTGAAATGGAGCATAGACGTATTCTCCAAATCCCTGAACCTGGTATTCTCTGACTTCTATATTCTGGCTTCCACTCACCTTTCTACTTTTATTCACTCCTCAGCCTACCACCCTAACCAGCCAGACTGGTTGGCTCACTGCAGAAATTGGGCATTCCTACCACCAAACCTGCGCTCATTACATCAAATTGAAACACCCTCCCCTACAAAAACTACTTATCCTTCAAGATCTATTACCTACTTTATCCAAGAAGACTTTCCTGCCTGACCATACCTGTCCTCAGGGACTTTTCCTTCTTTTGAATTCTTACAGTACTTATTACTTATTCTATTCATGTAACAGTTACCATCCCTTAATGTGTATTATGCTGGTCAAGATGGGGGGGGGAGGGATTAATGGAATATGTAGGGGAGGGTAAGGTTTCAAGAACAAATACCAGTCTAAAAAAATGCTTCTTTGCAAAAGCCTCAGGCCCCCACCATCAGCCATGAGATATTATTTCTTTGATAAGAATGGATAAATGAAAGATAGTTACCTGGGTCAACTTTCTGTAGAGAACCAGAAAACCCTCCTTGTCCTTAGAGATATCTCTCTAATAAAAAGGGAAGGGAAGGAAGATGGGAAGAGAAATGGCCCCTCAAGTTGTTTTTTTTTAATTAAATTTTATTTTTTGAATTAAGAAAAAATCTATTTTCTTTCCCTTCTACCTTTTAAAACTCTACTGGAGAAAAGAAAAAAAAAATCCTTGTAACAAATAGGCATAGTAAAGCAAAACAAATTTCTTCATTGCCTTTGAAAGAATGTATGTGCATCTGCAACCCTGGGGTTATGGTTTTTAAAATCATATTCTCAATTTGTATAAATCATTTTTATGGATGAAGCTACAAATTTCCCATAAAAATTCATGTGCTTTGACTCCCTTTTCGAGAGAATCATGTTTTATAGACACACACACGCTCACACACACACACCATTCCCTAGGCAGTATTAATGCCACAGTGGAATTATTTTATAATATTGATAAAGAACAGGATAAATATACCCATATTCACCCAAAGTTGTTCAGTCATGTCGGATTCTTTGTGACCCCATTTAGGGCTTTCTTGACAAAGATACTAGAGTAGGTTGCCATTTCCTTCTCAGTTCATTTTTATAGGTGAGGAACTGAGGCAAACAGGGTTAAGTGACTTGCCCAGGGTCACACAGTAGGTGTCTGAGATGGGATTTGAACTCATGAAGATGAGCCTTCTTGATTCCAAGTCTAGTGCTCTATCCACTGTGCTACCTAGTTGCCCCCTTATTTAGCTGACAGTAGTATATAAAGCTCAATTCCAATGCCATTCCTTTCATGAATCGTTCCCTGATTCCCCTCTGTCAGAAAGGTTCTCTCTCTCCTCAAACACACCTAAATGCCTGCCTATTCTTGTTTTAGGCATTTACTTCTTTCCTATTTCATTATACTATTTATTCATATTATATCTCCCTTAATAGATGATGTGCTCCTGGAAGATGGGGATTGTCTTGGTTATATTTATTATCTATCGTGCCCAGTGTTTAGTATAGTACACTGCATAATTCAAGCCTTCAATGATATTTATTGGATTCAACTGAATTCTTTTATAAGCTTTAGTGCCTGTCAAAGAATAGGCAATCAATAAATATTGATCAATTTAGTAGCCTGCTATGAGTATCCCTTTAAGGTTTTACTCCTTTACCTTTGTAATTGCAAACATCTCTTAGGTTTTCCACAAGGCTGAATGTTTCTTTTAGCTATAAGATGTGATCCTTTCCCCCTCACTCCCTTCCCGACCACTGCCACCTTGGAGAATGTGTAAGATTTAATGAAAATGTCCAGGAACATCACAGGCACAGGTACTTAGTGGTGGGAAGTCAAGGTAAAAGTGACAGGATGAAAATTCTCAATGCAATAAATTATGCATCTACAGAAAAGCAGTCAGGCCCCCAAACTCACACCTTCACCCCAGGCTGATGAGGAAAAAAACAATTGACTTCCAAATTGCTGGCCAGAATTTATATAGTAGTGAAGGTTTGTCAATGGTATCCGCGACCTCACCTTAAAGAGGGATTAAAAATGTTTAATTAATTGAATCAAAAC